AACGATAACGAAGAGCTGCCCATTCAAGATCCTGTTCCGAGATCACCTTCTCCGTTCACGCTCCGGAATAAAAAGATCTCGTTGGGTTCTCAGGAAAGTTTGTACGACGAGCCTTATACCAATTTGGAGGAGATCGATGCTGGTACCACACCGGTTCCCGATTTCACCCCCGCCCCACCTCCAACGTTTGGATCTACCGTCGATGAAGCTCCTCCCGAGGAACAACCGAAACTTCTCCACGTCGCGCCGACAATTTCCCGATCGTCTTTTCCTAATGAGCCTTATGGAGTCGTGGATAAATCGGAAGAGGAAGCTGTTGTCATGGAGGTGAAGGAGATTGAAAATGATAAAGAAGCAGAAAATACCATCAATGATTTTGATGAAGTTCTAAACGGTCTTCTGGGTAACGAGTCCCCGAATGAACCTGGGGAGAGACACAACTCGTTTTCTAGTTCCAACGCCTACGATTCCACCGTATTGATGTTCTAACTTTTAAGCGTTAATCATTTTCTTGCCGCTTAATTAAAGGAGTTTAGTCAAGGTATTTTGTGTTATTTTGGCCTCGTAAAAATTACCTTTAAATTAAAGGAAACCTGATAACAATACTTTACTAGGATAGAAAAACACGAAAGAGAAAATTTTAAACCATAAAGGAACAAGGATGGTTAAAGGATGGAGAAAATTAGTAAGGATTACATACGACGAACTTGAAAAATTTAGGCTAAACTTTTCAAGATGGTGCAAACCGTGACGTAGCTCCTTTAAGCTGGATACCACGTACATGTACTTTCGTGGAGTGGAGTGTTTGATTGGATATTACTGCTAACGCGTATTGTGTAGTTGTGAATACCATCCAAATTTCAGATTTAAAGACTATCAAGGGACTGATATTCCTTCAGCAGGATAACTCTATTGCCATAGTCCAGAGGGCGTTAAAACTTGAGGTACTTATACGTTAGGTATATCGAGTCAGTTTCTTAATAGTGAGTGTTGCCACCACTTATTTGAGTTCTCCCAAACTTTCACGACTGCTTCTACAGCTGGATAGGAACACAGAGAAATGTTCTTTTCTCTTTTAGAAGACAGAGAAAAAAAATAGCATTATTCATTTTGATTATCAAAATATACAGTCTATTTTCTCGCACCTTATTTCGTTAAAAGCGTGTGGTAGGTTCTTCGTTTCTATCGAATGATGTGAAGTTTTAGTTCAAGTTTAATTTAGCATGTTCTTTCTTAGCGGAAGGAAATTGTAGAATAGATTAGATTTACTTGGGTCTACTTATTTGAACAGGTCATTTCAGTTATGTTGGCGATTTGAGGAGCAAGTTTTCTTAGAGGTCTAGTGAATATTTGCGATGAAAAGTCTCTTTCTTAATTTGTGTTTTACCAGTTAGTACCTTGACATGTCAGACCTATTCTGATGTAATTTCATTGTGCAATAAGCGTTGTAGTATTACAGTTTTTGCTATAGGGTTTATTTATAGTAAGTGTTTCCGAAACATATTTGTGTATTTAATATTTATCTATGATTTTTTATTTTGTCCATGTCATCTTTTACTAGATTTTATTTGATACGAGGTCAACTAAGAAAGGATATTATGTGATTGCATAGTTTTAGGATTTAAAAGCTCTAGTTTGATTCTTTCAAAGCCCAGCAAATAGATTTATTTATTCCAAACTACCTACAGAAAGTATTGATCGCTCGTAGAATGATGTACTAAAAAATTGATTAGGAAAACAAATTAATAAACTTTCATGTATTTCTATGTCTCAAAGTTTCGAAAAGCCTATGCCCACCGTCCGCACGACCAATCAATCAATCAATCAATCAATCAATCAATCCGTCATTCGGTCAGTCAATGAGTTAATCGTGGAGTTTAAAGGTTGGACAACTAGATTTGGTAAGCATTTGTAATTCAGAGTTAACACTACCCTTCTTGCTTTCTCGACTGAACGCAACGACATATGACTGTGAAATGTCGTTTAAGTTTGATTTTTAATACTTAAATAAGGCATACGAATCAAGGAATTGAACCAAGGAAAAAAAACATATATAGATCTGTGTAAGAATGCTATGTGCAGCACTTCGGCTTCTTGCAACATTTTCCAAATAGTACCTTTAACTCCAGCTTAAAATTACTGTTAAAAGAAAAGTAAATTAACGGATTTATCGCACTGTAAGCGTTTGACAACCAAACAACAAACTTAAGTGCAGGATACGGCAAACTGATCTTATGTAAGCTATACAAACCAACAAAAACATGAAATGGACACCAACACAAAACAAACAAAACCACAACAACAATCATCATCCGGGAAACTTTCTTGGCTGTCTTCATCACTTCTACTTGTCTTTGGTCGTGATTGGTTCCTTCCCCTGGTGGATTACGTGACCATAAACGGTAAGACACGATCGAGTATAGGACAGTCATGGCCAGAAGAGGTACAAGAAAGTTAAGACGCAGTAAACACAGCGCTGTTATGTTCCCTACATTCATCGTAACGTGCGAATAATCAATTACGCAGAAAACATGTCTGCCGATGAACGCTAAGTGTGTCATAACTTCCATTCCAGCCGCTGACCCAATTGCCCAGATCCACAATCCCATAATAACAAGCCGGATATGACGTGTTATCGGAGAAGACTGCAAGGGCCGAGCTACCCCAAAATATCGGTCAATGGTAATTGCTGTCAGGGTCCATACGGAACAAAACGGTGGCAAAAAATATACCCAAACGGCGACCCTACAGGTCACCAGGCCGTTCATTCCACCAAACCACTCTTTGAAAAAGAGGGAATCACTAAACATGGCTGTCATGCTGGTCAACGTGGCAATCAAGTCTGCACATGCTTGATTGAGTATAAGACGATTGGTTGCTGTCTTCAAAAAGTGTTTCGTACGTATGATATGAATGAGCAGAGAGTTGCCTACCAATGACGTCAATATGAGAAGGAGGTAGCCTAAGTATAGAATGCCCATTTCCACTGTCAGCCGTGACGTTAACGTTAAGGATCGGGTAGTGCTGTCGCCTAAAATTGATATAGAGATACGAGCAGGTGTTTAGTGATATGAGAGTTTATGGTGTAAAGTACAATCTCTTCTATTTCATCGTAATGCCAATGGAAGACGTCCAGTGTGTACATAAGCACACCCACTTCTCTCACCCACTGGTGACTCTTTCAACTACATGCTTTGAAGATCATGAAAGAAAGAAAAAGCCCAAAACAGATAACTGAAGCACACTGGCCAATTGAGATAATAAAGTTGGCAAGAGGAGATGAAGGGTGATTATATTTAATCTCTCATATTGGCATTATTCTCAAGTTAATCCCTCTGAAGTTATTTTTGAATATGGTATCCTGTCATCCTGTGGGTAATGTTACCACATGTATAAGCATCGCTTGGATGTTTTTGTGAAGGACGAAAACGATGTAATTTGCCTCACAGGGTTGGCTATTTCAAGACCCTTTTATAATTTCGTAAGAAAGAAGTGGTCTAAAACAACTTCGAATGGATTAACATAGAAATACGGCATATATGGGCGACTAACTCTCCAACTTTCCACTCTCTCTCAGAGGTGACCAATTCAAAATTTTTTGTCTGCCTTCTTTTTGAACAAAATGCAAAGGAACGTAAGATGAGTACCTTGATTGTCCAAGTCCTCGGTGATGTTGGTCGGAATCTCCATAATTCATAAATCCTTACTAGAAAAAAAACATACAAAATCTGACGTTAAAAATCTCACTTGCAAGAAAATGGTATTTATGTTGCCGCTTTTATAATTAAGGCAAGGGATTCAAACGGGTAAAAGGGGTGCTGATGGTACAACAATCTGACACTTATGGAGATCGAGTTCAAGCCCTTTAAAACATTAGATTCACAGATACTGTTGAATAGATTTAAATGAAATTTGAAAAATAAGTTGGATATGCATGAACCCTAAAGTAATTGTAATAAAATCAAACTAGATAGGAAAAACAATCAAGCCAAAAGGAAACAGATAGCCGAAGCAGACACAACTGCGAGGACGGAAGGTTCGTAATCTTTAAGATCACAGTGACATTCAAACAGACCGCCATATAATTTCGATGATTAGTTGTTTTTAATCTCCTAATTTTTTTCACCGCTTTTTCACGGAGACGAGATTCTCATTGATTGTACTCAGATCGTAGGTACTCCAGCCTTAATAAGGCTAGCAAGAAGTGGAGCTGACAAATAATCGTCAAGTCATTATGCACGCTATTCAGACCGGCGACTGGAGCTTTTGAGACAGCACTAACTTCAAAAACTTATAACTTTAGAGGCATTAGACCAATGAAGTCCAAATTTGCGAGTTTGTTATCTGAGAATCATTTGGTATGACATGTTTTGGATCCAGGATGCTGGTGTTTCAGTGGCAACCATATTTTGATAGGCATGTTATTCAAATGTTGGATTTTGTTTTTTTTAATGTTTTCAACCTCGAAGGCTTTTAACTTCAAAAACATTAGAGCACCGAACTCCAAATTCGCGAGTTTTCCTAACATGTTATCTACATCTATACTTAGTTAAGACGGCAAAAATCGTGAGATATCACATCAACTGTAAAAATATGAATAAAAATCGGTCAAGGATCTTACTGTTTTCAGGGTTATTATATTCTGACGGTCATGTTATTGAAATATTGTATTTTGTTTTTTCTTTTGAAATAGAATCTCGCGTGTAGTAACTTTCATTTTTTGTTTTACTTATTTTGTACTGTCGTTGTGGGTTTGACGATATTTGAGTCATCTTTTCGCGACTTTCGAACGTTTTGTAAAAATCGACAAATCCAAGATGGCGGATCTAAGATGGTGGCTGTTCAGAAATGATGGCGTCAACTCAAACAAAGATGTTAGGGAATGCGGCATTTTGTAGTTGGTTAAAATAGTCACACCCTGGCTTGAGAGGTCGACACATTTTTTTGAGAAAGTGGACTTAGGCAGACGAACTGCAATTTAGTCTTGCACGAGGTTTGCATTTCTGTCTTGTTTATGCTAGTTCTATTTGCAATTGCATGGTTGTTATGAAACCTCTACTTCAGCGACAGCTGTTAAAGACATTGATGCTAACTCACGGGTATAAACAGCAGATGTAAATTTTAGAAGAAAGCTAAAAACGTTGGCCCAAATTATAAAATGCGAGCAAGGCTTCAAAACCGCACGTTGGTTTGTCATTATGAAAATGAAAGAATGTTAAGAGCAGCTTCGCCTAAATATCAACTAGACTTGGAAATAGCGAAAAAATCGAATTTCTTCAAACTCGCCCAGAATGAAGCCC